TGATTCACTTAACAACCAAGTTACTAACTTAACAACTGCTGTGATTCACTTAACAACCGTGCCAAGAAAGGTCATAAAGTAACCTAACAAATATTTCACTTAGCAACCTGAATTTTGGGCTCAATGTGGTCATAACTGGGGATTACCTGGCTCCAACTGCTTTGCTGAGATGATTTCTCTTTCAACACTGAAGAAAACAATCATTCTACATTCACACCAAGCTATTCTGTCTAATATACAATTTGTTGTGGTAAACACGTGATCTGCATTCATCATTAATCCTACAATATGTGAACTTGTTGAAGTGTCTTTTTATCATCCCAGCAAGTGGACGAATGGTGACAAGGAGAGAAACAGAGAACAACCAAGGGCCCAGGAAACCACACTCTTTGTATTTATAAGTCAACTCTACCAAGAAGTCAACTCAGGCCAAGAAATCCTTCCTGCCCCCTCCTGGTCCTGTCCAAACAAGAACCACACCAGAATGCCTACTGCTATATCTCCAGCCATTTTGCTCCCAGATAAGAATGTAAATCCAGATTAGCTGCCCTGAAAGACACATTTCTTTTCTGTGAACTGTACACATGTATTTTATACGACAGATATCTCGTTAGGGCAGGTGAGTCAAAAGATATACACAAATCATATTTAGAAAATCCATCCCCAGTTGAGATAGATACTAATGTGTGTACAAGACAGCTTGTGGAGCGCTGACAAAGACGAGTGTCTCTGCAAGGAAATCTGTTTTGAATGTTTCATGAATCGTACATTTTTTTTTAAAAAGGTCCACCCCTCTTGGATTTGCGGGAACAATATGCATGGGCCATCTGTCTTTGGTTCTGTAACAGATTCTAAGGGTATTAGCCTGACTGAAAGGAGAGCTTTGACTTCTCAGGAGACAGGAATGTTTATTCCCCTAACACATTTATTGAATGAGAATATGGGTACACTTTATGGTGATCCTTCCCTTTTCTCCTGAAAGACAGCAATGTCAGTTCAGCATCCATCTACGTGCACATCAGCTGTATTAGGAGCCTGAGTGACATAATCTATATTGGATACTCTGTGGAGTACAGGGTAATTCNTCCCTCCTTCCCATTTTCTTCCTTCCCCCTCTTTCTCCCTCTTACTCTTTTTCTCTTTCCCTCTCCCTCCTTCTATTTCTTTTGTCTCTCTCACACACTTTTTCCTAACCCTTCCTTCCCTCCCTCCCTCCCTCCCTTCTTTCCTCCCTCCTTCCCATTTTCTTCCTTCCGCCTCTTTCTCCCTCTTACTCTTTTTCTCTTTCCCTCTCCCTCCTTCTGTCTCTTTTGTCTCTCACACACTTTTTCCTAACTCTCCCTTCTCCTTCCCTCCCTCCCTCCCTTCTTTCCTCCCTCCTTCCCATTTTCTTCCTTCCCCCTCTTTCTCCCTCTTACTCTTTTTCTCTTTCCCTCTCCCTCCTTCTGTCTCTTTTGTCTCTCTCACACACTTTTTCCTAACCCTTCCTTCTTCCCTCCCTCCCTCCCTCCCTTCCTTCTTCCAGTTGCATGGATTTTGGCTCCCCAAACATCCCAGCTAGCAAGGCTCTCTGGGGGATTCTGGGAATTGAAGTCCGCCCATCCTAATGTGGCTGTGAAGGCTGAGACACAGGGCTCTATGTTCTGATCTCCAGTCTGGCCCGTTGTGCCCTGCTAATGCCGGGTTAGCCCAGAGGGGGTGGGTGGGTGGGGGGTGGAAAGGCCAGCCTGTAGATGAGAGAGCGCGAGGAACGAATCCCCTCTGGAGTAACCAGTCTGTCCCCCGTGCTTCCTCCTCTCACAGCTGGAGGGCCTGAATCAGCAAGTGGCCAGCCTGAGTGGTCAGCAGGCCGAGCTGCAAGCCACCGTCCTGCGTCTGGAGGAGGAGAAGCGCCTGCTGGAGGCCAGCCTCCAGGCCGAGAGGAGGACCTTCGAGGCGGAGAAAGCCCAGCTGACGGCCCTCCTGACAGAGCTGCAGAACTCCAGCGCCGAGATCTCCCGGGCCAAGGAGAAGCTGGAGCAGGACTGCCGGGCCCAGGAGGAGTGCTTGATCGCCCAGTCCAACACCCTGACGGCCGAGATCGCCAAGCTGACGGGCTTCCTGCGCCAGAGGGACGAGGAGCTGCTGGCTCTGCACCAGCAGGTGGAAGCCGAGCGCAGCCAGAAGAGCCAGCTGGCCGAGGAGTGGGAGCAGAAGGAGCAGAGGTCTCGGGCGGCCATCGAAGACCTCGGCCGGCAGGTGGACCAGCTCGGCAGCTCCCTCAAGCAGAGCCAGCAGAAGGTCTCCCAGATCGAAGCCGCCAGCCAGGAGGAGTACAACCGCATCGCCCAGGAGAAGGAGCTGGCCGTCCGGCAGCTGCAGGAGAAAGAAGCCGAGGTCTCCTCCCTGGGGGAGCGGCTGCAGTCCCTGGAGCAGGTCCGCGCCTCTTCCGCCATGGAGCTCCACCAGGAGAAGGTGGAGGCCAGCCAGAAGATCCAGGCGCTGGAGGCCAGGGTCTCGGCCCTCACCGCCCAGGGCCAGCAGAGCGAGGCCCAGGCGGCGGCCGTCCCGGCCTTGAAGAGCCAGCTGCGGGAGGCCCAGCAGAAGCTGGCCGAGAAGGAGAAGCTGGCCAAGGAGCACGCCCGCCTGCAGGAGCGCCTGATGGTGCTGGAGGAGTCCGTCCGCAACACCGAGGGCATCCTGGAGGACGAGAAGCGGAGGGCGGCCGAGTCCCTGGAGAGCAACCTCCGGCAGATCGCGGAGCTGGAGGAGCAGGTCCAGGGGCTGGCCAGGCACAAGGAGCGGGCGGCGGAAGGGCTGGCCGAGGAGAAGGCCAGGAGGGAAGCCTTGGAAGGGCAGATGCAGCGGCTGGAGGAGGAATCCAGCAGGAAGCTGGAAGAGCTGCAGCGTCAGCTGGCCGAGTCGCCTGTCGCTAAAAAGGAGCTGACCGAAGGCAGCGGGCAGGAGCCAAGCGGCCAGAGGTCCCAGGCTGACCAGAAGAAGCTGGCCGAGCTGGAAGCCCAGCTGAAGGACCTCAGCGCCCAGCACCAAGAAGCCCTGGAGGCCCTTCAGGCCAAGCTCTCTCAGTCCGTCTCCCAAGTCAAGGAGAAGACGAGCGCGGAAGAGAAGCTCCGAGCCAAAGTGGCCGCCTTGGAGAAGCAGGTGGCGGCCGCGCGCCAGGAATCGGACCAGGCCAAGAAGGACGGGCACCAGGCCGCCCAGGAGCTGGCGGAGGCCGCCAAGAGGCTGGCCGAGGAGCGGCTCAAGAGGGAGGAGCTGGAAGCCAGAGTGAAGCGGTTGGGAGAGCAGAGCAGCGAAGATCTGACCACGGCCGAGTCCAGCTTGTCCAGCCTCCGGTCCGCTCTGAAGGAGAAAGAGCAGGAGTTGGAAGAGGCCTCCGCCCAGCTGAAGGCGCTGAGGGCCGAGTTGGGGGAGGCCGTGCAGCAGCGGGAAAGCCGGCTGGCTCAGCACCGGGAGGAAGCCAAGCGGCTGGCGGAGGAGGAGGAGCGGCTCCAGGCCGAGCTGGCTGCGGAGAAGGCCCTGAAGGCGGCCCTGGAGGTGCAGCTGCAGAACCTCACCAACGAGCACCGGGTGGAGGTCTCCGGCCTGCAAGAGGAGGTGGCCAGGGCCCAGGACCTGGTGGGCGAGAAGGAGAGGGAGCTGGAGGAGCTGCGGCTGAAGAACGTCTCCCGCTGCGAGGAGCTGAGGGACCTGCAGAAGACGGTCAGCAAGCTGAAGGGGGAGCTGGCCTCGGTGGAGGCGCTGAAGGAGCGGGAAGCCAAGATAGAGAGCGAGCTGCAGGGCTTCCTGGAAGTGGCCAGGACCCGGGAAGCCGAGATCAGCGGCCTGAAGGCCCTCCTGCACTCCAGGGACGCGTCCCTGCAGAGCCTGGAAGAGCAGAAGCTGCAGTGGGAGAAGGAGTCGGCCTCCCTCCGGGAGACGCACGAGAAGCAGCTGAAGGAGGGCAGAGACCTCCAGGGCCAGCTGGGAAAGCTGGAGAAACAGAGCAAAGAGCAGCAGAGCACCATCGCCAAGCTGGAGAAGCTGACGGCGGCCTCCAAGGAGCAGCAGCAGGCCGAGGCGGAGGCGCTGAGGCGGGAGGCGGGCCACCAGAGGCAGAAGGCCTCCGAGGCGGAGAAGCTCCTGGAGGCCTCCAAGGCCACGGTGGAGAAGCTGAAGAGGGAGCTCCTGCAGACGGAGGAGGAGCTGGTGCGCAGCCGGAAGGCCGTGTCGAGAGCCGAGGAGGAGTTGGCCTCCTTGCGGGCCTCGGCTCAGGAGAAGGACCGGCTGGAAGAGAGCCGGAAGGAGCAGATCTCCCGCTACCGCCAGGAAGCGGAGAGGAAGGCCAGCCACGTCAGCAGCTTGGAGCAGGACAGGTCCATCCTGCACCGGCAGCTGGTGGAGAAGGAAGCGGAGAGCAAGGACCTGCGGCGCCTGGCCGTGGCCGAGTCGGAGAAGAGCAAGAAGCTGGAGGAGCGGCTGAGGCTCCTCCAGTCCGAGATGGCCACGGCGGCCTCCCGGGCGGCAGAGCGCTGCTCGGCCATGAAAGCCGATGCCCAGAGCTACCAGGAGCAGGCCGAGAAGCTGCAGCTGTCCGTGGACGCCCTGAAGAAGCAGGAGGAGGCCCTGGGCCAGGAGCTGAAGTCCTGGCAGGAGAAGGCCTCCCAGAAGGAGCAGCTGCTGGCGGGGCAGCAGCAGGAGTTGGCCGGCGCACAGGCTCTGATCGGGGAGCTGATGCCCCTCAAGGGCCTGTGCCAGCAGCTGGAGGCCTCCCAGGCCTCGCAGGGGGACAAGCACCGCGAAGAGGTGGACCAGCTGCAGAGGGCCGGCGGCCTCCTGCAGGCGGAGCTGATCCGGGCCAAGCAGGAGCTGCAGGAGGCCTCCTCCGCCCAGGAGAGGCTCTTCCAGCAGGAGCAGCTTCTCCGCCAGCTGCAGGCGGAGAACGGCGGCTACGTGGAGCACCTGGCTGCCCTCCAGCAGGCTCACAGCCAGCTGGCCGAGGAGAAGAGGGAGCTGGCGGAGAAGGCCGCCCAGGGGCAGCAGAGCCTGGACAGGGAGCTGGCCCAGGCCAAGCAGAAGCACGCTCTGGAGCTGGAGGCGGCCCGGATGGACTCGGAGAAGCTGCTGGCAGGCAGCAAGAGGGAGGCTGAGGAGGCCCAGAGGAAGCTGGAGGAGATGGCCAAGACCTGCGAGGACACCAAGCAGCAGCTGGCCGCTCAGGTGAGCCCTTTGGCACCCCCTCCCCCCCTTGAGATGGGAGGTGGCTGTTCTTAAGGACAACCAAGAGAACTTTTGATGATCAGGGTTGAGCTCTGGGCTTCCTGGTGTTTTCTAGCAGACATTTCATGACCCAACTAGGGGACATCATCAGGGCTAGAAGGGAGGGTGTTTGTGGAATGGAGCTTGGCTGTTTCCTTGCAGATGTTTTCGTGGCCCAACTAGGTAGCATCATCAGTGTGAGGGAGTGTGGGGTTTGCTCTTGTTTATCTACAGTCGCTTGCCCTGCAGCCGATGCCCAGATAAGCAGGGATTAACTCCAGAGAAACAGTGAAGCAGAAACCAGCGTCCTAAAGAGCCGAGGTGGCGCAGTGGTTAAATGCAGCACTGCAGGCTACTTCAGCTGACTGCTAGTTCGGCAGTTCGGCTGTTCAAATCTCACCGGCTCAG